CATTGAGGGAAAAGCTTCCTTGGGGTCCTCTGGTGCCATGCTTGTTCTGAGACAGAGCTCGTATTCAGGCTCTGCAAACAACGGGCCATTCAGAGGCAATGAAGGGACAGTAAATCCAGAAGTGATGGACAAAAAAAGAGCATCTTTTCACACAATTTGCCTCGAGGAACTCCGTGTCATATGATGTGGCCAAGGGCAGAGACTTGTGGGATCAAACAACTGCTGAGCCAGCCCTGGGTATTGCTATTGCTCAAACCAAAAAATAAATTATGTTAAAGATGAGGAAAACTCCCTGGGTGTAAGCACCAGAAATCACTCAGGCTGCTGAAGGACACGCTGAAGAAGACTTCCTAAGGACAGAACACCTTTGCTGGGAACAGGTCCTTGGGAGATGCCTGGATGAAGGTTGCAGGACACCCTGCAGCTTTCCCTGAGGTTCCTGGCAGCAGTTGCTGAGCCAATAAAACCCCTTTGCTACCCACAGTGGCAAACAGCCCTCTCATCACAAGGATTCACTCCTTCCAGCCACTCCTGGGAGATTTTCCTTACACCTGGGAACCCTCCTCTTCATCTCTGCACCTCCGATGCAAGGAGCTGCATCCATTGCTCAGACCATGGAATCATGGAATATGGGTTGAGTTGGAAGGGACCTTAAAACTCACCTCATCCCACCCCCTGCAATAGGCAGGAACACCCTCCACTGTCCTGGCATGTTCCAAGCCCTGTCCAACCTGCCCTGGATGCTTCCAGGGATAGAGATTCCACAACCTCCCTGTGCACGGAGACTTACCCTGGGAACTTGAAATAAAGCAGGTTGCTTCCCTTCTCAACTGCAGAGGAAGGAAAGGTTTAGAGAAGAGGAATAGCTGGTACAGTAGAACATTACTTCCAAAATATGCCAGCAAAAAAAATGCCAACAAAAGCCTCCAAACACCTTCAATTATTGAAGTTTCTCTATCAGCACTCAGAGCATGTTAATTCTCCCCTTGGGTACTGGTGATGCAGATGCAAGAGCACAGCCTGGGAAGGATTGGGGATGCTGTTGGAGATTTTCTTGCTGGATTGAGCCATCCCAGCACATTCCCAGGCTGAGGCTTTCCAAGCTGCAGAGATGGGGAAGAGAGTGAGAAGGTCACATAACCCAACCCTGCAGCTCAGGTTTTTTGGTGTTTTGGTTTTTTAAGCTGGTGACATAAATGCTTTCAGAAGACACTTTAAAGCTATGGCTGCTCTCTCCAGGGAACTATCAGGCTGATTTCCTTTGGTCAGAGCATGGTCCCAGGGTCAGGCTGTCAGCTCTTATTAAGATTTGGATGTGGTCATTGAATGGAAAGCACTTGGCTCTATTACTGCTCATTAGATCACTTTATGATAAATCTAATCATCAGCCTACTCCACTTGGCCCAGCTCAAGGTGATAAGGCTGGTGCTGCAGCCATCCCAGGGGAATCCAGACCAAATGGCTTTCCCAGGAAGGACAGCTCCATCATGGCCCTGCCAGGTCTTCCTGCTCCCATGTCCCAGTGGGATGCGCCTGCCCCAGATTAGGACCTAGGAGGATGGGTTTGGGTAATTAAGGGTAATTAAAGCTCGGTCATGTGTCACTGCTTCACATCTCCTCCTGCAGCCCCAGCAGGGCACGAGGCTGAGCTCCAGCACTGCTCCATGGGCATCACTGGGAACAGAGGTGAAAGCTTCCCCCATTTTTTTAAGGCTCGTTCATGGATCAAGCTCCTTGTGACTCCTCCATGCCATATCCAGGGGTTGGAACCCCAGTGCAGGTGGTACCCACAGGTGTGCCAGGGCTGCTGGGGACCCAGGCTGGGACTGAGCCATCCCAGGGTGCCACAATGGAGTCTGGGCCAGTGGCTTTCTCCCTGGAGATTTGGGCTGAAGGTTTGTTTGCGCCTCATGCTTTAACACATCCAGAGTAATGACTCACATCCCCTATCACCTCATCATTTACAGAAACAGCGGCTCTTCAAACTCCTGTGACCACCCCCTCTGTGGGCACATGGGTGGGCAGAGAGGTCCAGAGCAGCAACAGTTCCCTCCTCCTCTCCTGAGGGCATCCAAGAGGACAGCCAGCCCTTCCCCAGGGCACGGGAGCATTCTGAGACCTCTGATGGTGGCAGGCATGGCAGCAGTGCCACAGCTCCCCAGCCCTCAGCTCCCGTGGAATGCTTCCCATCTTCCTCTGGCTCCACGAGCTCATAAATTCATCAAAGGCAATTAAGCTGCCCCTGGTTGAGGCATTCCAGAGAAGCTGTTGGAGTCCTTTTGCTCTTCCAGAGCAGGATGGGAAGGGCTTGGCACCATCAGGCCATGGCCAGGCCAGCCAGGCCACGTGTGCTGGGAGCCTATGCCACCTTCCCAGGCCTGGGCTGCACAGGCCCATCTCCATGGATCCTGCTAGAGACGGGAGATGGAAAGTAAACACAAACAAGCGTATTCTCCAAGGAATTTAGAGAGCAGAGCTGTGTTTTGAGCCACTCAGGGGCTCCCCAAAAACCATCAGATCATCAGGTCTTTGCTGAAGGAGGCTGCTGCCTTCTAGAAGCTAAGCAGAACTTTCTCTCCAACAAGCTGGCTGAAGTTTCACGCCCTGGATTAATCCGCCCACGGTACTTTGGGAAGACCTTGGGATGGCAGCATGCATCTACAGCCTTGGGTGCACCAGGATCCATCCCATCAAAGACTCTCCAGGTGGAGCCAGAGGCTTTCCCGGGATGCTGCAGTAGTTTCCCACACCCGGGGCTGCCCCTGGCAGGGTTGATGCCAGTCCCTGGCAGGGTTGATGCCAGCCCCAGCACTCCTGCCTGTGCTGACACGGCAACCCGGCACAGCCGGCCCAGGGCTGGTCCCAAACCACACACGGAGCTGCAGCCACAGACAGCAGGAGCGGCCTCCCCTCCCTCCCAGGCACAAGGGCGGCAAACGCAGTTCAAAGTTCTCCTCAGTACAAAAACGGGTTTTGAGGGTAATTTGTTGCAGCTTGAAAGCAGCTGAAGTTAATTACAGAGCAATGAAATATTGCACTTTAATATTGCTTCATTCCCCTTGGCTGGGCTGTCGTGGAACGCTGCTCCATTCCAAGATCCAGAGCCGAGCGCTCTCATCTCCAGGTAAGGTCCCAGTTAAACCCGGGAGAGGCAGGCTGGGGATGCACCATCCTGTCCCAGTTAAACCTGGGAGAGGCAGGCTGGGGATGCACCATCCTGTCCCAGTTAAACCCGGGAGAGGCAGGCTGGGGATGCACCACCCTCCGCAGCTCAGCAGAACGGGGCCGGAGCACGGGGCTGCACCTGGGGGCTCCCAGCAGGCGCGGGGCTGCTCAGTGCATCCCTAACCCAAGCCAGGGCACTCATGCCCCGTTTGAGAGGCAGCCTGTTCCCCCAGCCATGCCCAGGGCCCCCCCAGCGCCCGGAGCCCTGCTGCTGCCTAGCCCTGTGCCCAGCCCGGGAAGCCCCTGGCTGCAGGCCACTACTGCCCAGGTGAGCTCCTGACTCACGCAGCTCCTGAGCGAGAGCTGGAGCGCAGTGGCCAAGGGCAGTGCAGGTGTCTGCATCCTCTGCAGGCCTGGGAAAGGCTGCTGGGAGCACGGGGAGCAGCAGACTTGTCCTGCCTGGAGCTCAGGCTGCCTCTGTCAGGCAGCCAGATGAGCAGGAGTTGTCCTGCTCACTGCTCACCCCAGAGAAGATGCCAAATGTCCCCCTTGCCCTGATGCCACTTGGGTGCTTTCTCCTGCTTGGAAATGACACGGAGTAAAGCAACAGGGTGGACAAAGCACTTGCAAACAGAATCTGTGTAGCCCAGGCAAGGGACAGAGTTGGCCCAAGCACGGCCACAGCCACTACTACACGATAGAGGGCACCTCAAAGCCAGATGGACAGGAATCCCAGTTTCTTAATGTCAGCAGCCAAAACAGAGTTATAAGCACAGATCTGAGAGCCCTTTTCACACGCTGAAGAGCCTCGGCCACCCCAGCCCACCCCACAGAGGCTGCAGCCCCTTTCTCAGTGCCGTCATCCTGCGGGGCCGCCCAGAGGAGCAGGCTGCATTGCCATCTAATGGGATGCGCTGGGAAAGCCCGAGCATCCCCCTGGAAACCAGCAAGACCAGGACCCCGAGGGCTCTGCAGGTGCCTCATGCTCCCTGCACCGGCCGGGCCGACCCGGTCAGGCCACCCCTGGCTCTGTGACACAAAGCAGCACTGGGGCACAAATCAGAGGGGCCAGGCAGGATTGAGAGAGGGGTTTGTGTGCTCAGAGCTGTGCAGGGAACAAGGCAGCCGCTCGTGTCCCAGTAGTATCACCACCCACATCTGGCTGGGCACACCAGCAGAAGGCTCTATTGGGTCTCAAAGTCATTTTCCCCTTGCTGCCTCCCACAGTTCATAAAAGCTCCTGGCAGCAGAGCCCGTTGAATATTAAGCTCCTCGAGGAAGCAGTTGTCCAGTTAAAGCTGCCTCTTTGCCAAAATGCTGCATGCAAGCAGACACTTAAGGGAAAACCAGCTCCACAGGGACTCCAAAGATGGATGTGGGATGGAAATCAGCATGGCTAGGCAAAACGGGTGGTTGTGCCAGGAAAGCCCATGGACTGAAGCACTGTGCCAAACCCACAGCACTGAACACAGCCTTCCACCCCGCTCCTCTCCACCAGATGAGCAACACCTTCCGTGCGACATCACGGGGACTGCTGGGAGCAGCAAGGACCCCATCTCCTGAACTAATGCACTGACAGCCTCAAATGCAGCACCAGCAGGGTCTGCTCACATCCCTGCTCCTGCCTGCAGCACCAGCACCTTCCACAACCCAGCCTGTGACTAGGGAGCAGCAGCTTTAATGCCTCACTCCTGAGTCCCCACCTCCCTGCAGAGTTCTCTTGGCTCACAACAAACACCACAGGGAAAAATCAGAGGGGATTGGAAACCCCTCAGAGTCCATGGTGGCTTTTGTTTCCTTTCCTCACCGAAGGTACAGTCCCTGCCCATACCAACCTGACTTCCAGCTGTCACTGAAGGCAATGGGAGCTCGATTTTTACCCATATCCAAAGATAAAAGTGGAAATTTATTTCATCAAGTACCTCTGTCCTTCAGTCCCGAGTCTCTCCTGTAAGCAGACAAACCAAAACCCAAAAAGCATTAAATGGAGTCCGTGTCCTAATGGCAAATCCCAGCCCAGTTTCTGACGCCCTCACCTTTTGTGACAGAAAACTAATCAACCTTGTCTCCCAAAACACCCAGAGGTGAAGGGAATGGCCCAGGAGCTGCTGTGGACCCTGCACAGGTCATGCCTTGCTGCACCTTAGCACCATTTTGTGTTTTTCTTTTTTGCATGCATCAACTCCTTTTATACACCAGCAACTCTCCTTCGAGCTTTCTATCGAAGCATTTGGTTCCTGAAAAGGAAATCTGCTTCCACAGTGAGCAGCAACATTTGGAGCAGCCACCTCCTTGTAGGCAGGAGAGGAAGCAGAAAAGAGCACAGCTGGTTAAATCCCAGCCCCTGCTCTGCAGAGGGGAACTGCTGTGACACCCTGGCACTGGACCATTGCCCCAAGAGCTGGTTTCCCAGCCATGCTCCCTGCTCCAGGAGCAGGTGGAGGAATGAGGAGTGGTGCCTGCCTCTCCCCGAGGGAACCGCAGCGCCCGCCGCGAATTCCAGCCCCGGCTGCCTTTAAAGATGCTCAGCACCGAGTTAATTGAGACAAAGCTTTCTCAGGCACAGAAAATTGAAGTCTCATTTGTAGCTGCAATTTTCACTTGGGACGGTGGAGAGCACAGCAGGAGTGGTCCCATCAGATAGCAGCAGCCAGGCTGGGCTCCAGCACCTGCAGAGGAATTACACAGCAGCGGGAGGCAACGTGCCGTGCTCTGTCTCGCTGGGAACAAGCATTTGGCAGGAAACACGGCTTAAAGCTGGGAACCAGAGCAAGTTCCATGGCAGAAAACAGGGCTTAAAGCTGGGAACCAGAGCAAGTTCCATGGCATCCTGCCACCCATGGTGCCAGGTGTAAGAGCTCAGCAGGATCACAGGGAGCGCCGTCATCAGATGGGATCAGCGTCGGTCGACACAGATGGGAGCTCCCAGGGCCAGGCACTCCCAAAGAGCTTTGGCCAGTATCACACAATCATGGAATGGTTTGAGCTGGGAGGCACCTTAAAGCTCTACTCCAATGTACCTGCCATGGGCAGGAACACCTTCCACTAACCCAGGTTCCTCCAAGCCCTGTCTAACCTGGCCTCGGACTCTTCCAGGGATCACCACTGCTGCTCTAGAAAGCATGTGGCAAGGCCTCCCCTCCCTCATGATGTCATCTCCTGTCACCCTCACATCAAATGCAAATCAAGAGAAGGCCACCCCAAGGAGGAGAGCCCCTCCTTTTCCCCCAAGCCCTCCCTGAACACCGATGTCTTCTGGAGTTCTCCATAAACACTCAGCTCACACTAAAGCTGTGCAGACACATTTTTGGAAAGCAGCCCATCAGGTAATATTGTGCCATCCCATCTCCCCTCTGCTTTGGTTGCTTCCACTCACTTCTGCACAACTGATTCATTTTGCTTTTGTGAGCAGCACTGGAAGCCAGCTGGCAGTTGTTGTGCACCTAAATTCCACTTGCTCAGCAGGCTCTTCCACACAAGGGATTCATTCCAACCTTTGTCTGTGGTGGGGGCACACAGAACTGAGGCAGCAAGGCTAATATTGAAACCTCGCTGCTATTGTGTTGCCCAGAGAAGCTGTGGCTGCCACAGCTCTGGAAGTGTTCCAGGCCAGGCCAGGCCGAGCTTGGAGCAACCTGGGATAGTGGAAAGCATCCCTGCCCACGGCAGGGGGTGAGACAGGATGGGCTTTAATGTCCCTTCCAGCCCTATCCCCTTCTGCCATTCTGTCATTAAAACATCAAAGTTTCACTGTGAAGGAGGAAGAAGAAACTTGCTGCGTCTCATAACTGCAGCCCTAGGTGTGATGTCACTGCTGAGGAGCCAATTCCTCATGGAGAGGCTTGGCCATGCACAGGTATCTCCATAGCCTGGATGGTCCTAGGCTGCCCCAGCTGAGGGGGAAACTGTTAACAGACATCCTGGGATAGCACAGACAAGCACAAGTCACTCATCTCCTCTCTCCTCTCCTGTGCAAAGTAAAGCCAAGGGGGAGGTTGTTGCTGAACTGGAATGACCACAGAGAAAGCTGGTGCTTTTGCCCATAAATGTGACCTTCCCCAGAGAATTTGCCCTGGGAAAGCAGGCAGAGCCAAGCACAGTCCAGGACAGGCAAGAGGCAAACCCCAGGCAATGGGAATTTGGGAAAAGAGGACAGACTGCAGATGGTTTCACACATGCCCCTACATAGAAGCATGGAGAGGACTTGAGCTGTATTATCTTCCCAAATCTAACTAGAACAGGAGATGGATTCATCCAACTGGCACAGCACAGCATCCAAAACCCAAATCTTTACAGCTGGTTTGCTAAGAGATTTTTCTTGAGGTGTTGGGAGTGGGAAGGAGGGAAGAGAAAAACACAGGGGAGGGAAGAGAAAAGCTAGCGCTCCTTCCTACAGCAAAGGGAGAGAAAAGTTATTTCCTTCACAGAGTTAGCTTATAAACAGTTTTAAAGCAGAGTTAAAGTCTGAATAAAATTTTAAAAAGTATGCTTGAGATGCATGTTGTCATACCACAAGGCTCACCAGCACTGGTTTTCCTGACTGGAATGAAAGTCTCTTATACCCAAAGCTCAGCCCTCTGTGCTGCTCAAGCAGGTGGGGAAGGCTCCCAAAGCTGCTCTGCACCCCAGTGAGCCCCCACCAGTGTCCCACAGCAGCTTCCCCAGCTCCAGCCACAGCACAAAACCCCCCTCCAGATTTGGTGCTGGGCTGCACACACTGCCAAGGGAACTCCAGCACCCAGAGAAGTCGGCAACACCAGGATGGAGGACACGTGTACAAACAGAGCTGCACTCTCCAGAGGAATCCTAAAATCACAGCAGGTGCTCCTTTCATCCCCACAGCCCTCAGAGCTGGGAGATGGTGCTCTGGGCAGGTGGAGGGAGGCTCACACTGCTCAGGATCTCACTGCCCTGGCTGGGAGTCCTGAGGGATTCAGGCATCCCTTCCCAGAGGACAGATGGATGAGACACAAAACACGGAAGCAAAGCGCTACAGGATCAGCAAAAAAAGCCAGTTGTGTCCCAGGACTCCTCCATCCAGTACCTCACCAGGCCCCCAAGGCTCTCATGAAGGACTCTTCATACTGGTTTTGATACAGGAAGGGGCACAAGCGAGATTTGGCTGCTTAACTCCAAGGCACTGCCCTAAATTCTGGAATGCCTGGCAGCCATTTTCCTCAGTGACTGAAGCAGTGAGCCCTGTGCTGGAAATGCAAAATTAACTGCAGCCTAAATCTAAACAGTGGTGCTTGAACCAATGCCAAGGTACCTCATTTCTGTGACTAATACTAAATGAATAATTTCTTTAAAAAAAACCCTTCCAACTTGGACTTTCAGGGACTTGCAAAAATAATAATTACACTTGTATTTTATACCCAACAAACATTTCACTCTGTAGTGGAATCAAAGCAAGAAGCTGCAAGTACAACTGCTTGCAATTATTTTGACTATTTTTTAGAATTTTAAGCAGACATTTTTACTGTATTAATTGAGATAAGTTATTTCCATCTCTCACTGAACTTCTTATGCTTTGCTGAGGGTCCAGTCAGTGCTTTTCAGAACACGTTGCTGCTTCTAATGAACCTCATAGAACACCACGCACGACAGAACAAGAAATTAACTTTGTGAGAGCCAGGAGGGTACAGGTTTAATTTCTCTTGAATCAGCAGAACACCACTAATCCTGGATAATAATGTGCCACAGTCTTGAGGAAGAGAAAATTCAGCTCTGATGTTGAGCCTGCCCCAGCTCACTTGGCTATCCCACACTGACTATCCAACATCCCCGAGTTCCTCAAGGAAAAACAAACCAGAATAAAGCGGTTTTCCATCTGGGAGTCTACTCCCGCCTGCTGGGGATGGGAAATGATTTAAGCAGGGTTTCCTTGGTGCTACACAAGTGATGTGGAGCAGGTGCACTGAATGTGGCTCCTCTTCCCTCAGGTGCTGTGGTCCATCCTGGCCAGGGCTCCAGCAGGAAGGGATTTCATTTCAGCCAGATCCACTTGTCCCCAACGTCAGCGTTGTAGCCTGCCTTGTACTTGCGCCCAGGGAGCTAAAGAAAGCAGAAAGCTCAGTCAGAACTCTGGTCACTCCCCTCAAAGTTCTGAAGTGCCTCGTGGAATCTACAGAACATGAAATACTCTTTTTACATTGCAATGATAAAACTTACAGGAAAATCAGGCTCTTGGAAAAGACCGAGTTGTGCAGCTGAAGGAGGGACTGCAAAAACCACCATACAAAACCATAATTTATGTATGAAAATGAGGCCAATGATCTCAGCACCACATTCCACCTGGATTCATCCAGCTCCTCCCAGCCTGAGTAAGATGGCTCCCCTAACTGTATCATGGAGGAGAGGAACTGACTATCATTCCAAAATAGGCACATACCTTATAAAATACATGAAATACTTCATGCATGAGATACTGAGTTAATTACCACATTAAATTAAACTGCTCAAATGAAACTGCAGATTTAGCCTTCAAGAGCTGAACTTATCTTCATTAAAGCAAAAACAATATCTGCCTGTCTTCATCAGCAAAGTCAGGAACCACTTTTTGATGGAAAACCCAAAGATTTTTGAAGCCTTTACCCAAATTGCAAGGACCCTGGGACCTAAGCAGCAGCCTGGGAGTCTCAGCGCTGAAGCAGCGCCCTTTGGAAGGTACTGACCACGACCTGGAATGCCAGAGATGGTGAGGTCCTGGTTCCGAAAGCAAAATCCATCTCCAGAACATCCATTCCTACCTCCAGGAACCAAAAAGAAATGGAACAGAACACCTCTGAGCTCCAGTACTGGACCAGAGAAGCAAAGCACCAGAAAAAAAAGCCAATGAGTTTGGTGAGAAAGGCTGAAGGCAGCAAAGATGCTGTAATAAAACTCTTCCTTTAAAAATAAGCTATGTGCTGGCAGCCTCTCCAAATAATTAAGCACAGATCATCTGCTCTGTCTCCAAACAAACACTGGTTTCACACAAGACCCCAGACTTGTCCTGAGGATTCTTCCTTTCCAAAAAAACATGTAAGTGGATCCTGTCGGGGAGAGCTGCCCCTGCAGAGAGAAGCAAGATGCAGTCTTGATAAAATCTCTACTCAGGCCACAAAAATGAACTATTTAATAAAAGATAAAGCCTGTTGTTTTGAGGAAGGGGAACCGTGTTTATATTCACTTGGATGTCAAAAAACAAGACACTTCTTTCCCTAAAAATCAAGCTGACAGAAGACCTGACCTCCTTCACGAGACACTTCCCACCCTGCCTTGTCACAAACCATTTGCAATCAGTTTTTCTGAGGTTTTTCATTTAATGTCTTGTCTAAACATTAGCAGAAACCACACAGTCCTGTTGAGAATTCCCCCCACTGAGCAAAGAGGAGATGGGAGATGAAAATAAATGATTACTACCTCTGCCCCACAG